CAACAAATGTGTCTTTTTTTTTTTTTACATCTTTCAGTTTGACTTCATGATGTCTTTCAAACAGCTTTGTGCTGTCCTTTTAGTGGTGTGTGCCCTGAAATTCAGCTCTACTCAGTGTGAGTATTTTCATCTTTTCTGTTTGATTTGTAAATCAAAACCTCTTAACTGTCTCACGTTTTGGGTGCTTCAAAGTCAGACCTACATGAGTAAACTGGTAACATTCTGTGATGTTAATTTGCTTTTGATGAAAGGTTTTCCTGAAATCTGTCAAACTTGTTTTCTACTCACTGGTATTTATTCTGGTAATAATTATTAACCAAAGGAAGAACCTGTGTCAACATTTGTCCCCATTGCAGCAGATCGTTTTAGAAGTGATGCTCCCCATGTCCTCAAAAACACAACTCTAAAAGTAAATATTACATCTTAATTTTACATTTTGATAATATTTCCTCTTTTATTTCCTGCAGCGAGCTGCAGAGGACGATGCGGTGCTGAGTACTACAGGGGTCACACGTGTCAGTGTGACTACAGTTGCCTGTCTTATGACGAGTGCTGCAGAGACTATGAATCTGCGTGCACCACAAGTGAGTAGGAACAGTAGTTAAAGCAATATTTTTACAATCCATCGTTGACTGTAAAAACAGCTGCTGGTGTTGTGTGCAACAGAAAACTCATGTAAGGGTCGCTGCGGGGAAACCTTCAGGAGAGGACGGCAGTGCAGCTGTGATGCAGACTGCTCAAAGTTCAAGCAGTGTTGTCCAGATCACAGCGACCATTGTGATGAAGATGGTAAGTGTTGAACAGAATATTTGGGGACTGATATGAGTGAATTTCTGCACGTTAACAGATCCAGACCCAAAAGACAACACTTCAAAGCAGGAAAGCTGAGATAAAAATGAATGAAATGGAACCCCAGGAAGGATGAAACAGTAGCAAAAGCTTGCATGTTGGTTAGAAGCATGCATGGAAGCATGAAGAGTAGCTCGGAATGCATGCAGTAATCTGCATTGACGCATTGACAGTATTTTCTTTATTGGTAATTACTGCAGAAAACAGTGAAGCAACCAGTGAGGCAACACCAGTGAAGACTAACTCATGTCAAATTGTACATGATAACAAACCCAAAGGTATATTTTCATGGGGGGGAAAAAGGTTTTGTTTTACCACATTTAGGATATAAGGCAAGTTTCTTCTTTTTCCACAGCAATCAACTAATATTTAATAATAAATATTTCTACAGAATCGACTCTGACTGAAGAAACAGTGGATCCATTCAGCGAGGGAAACGTCGAAGGTGACTATGTTTCACTTTCTTTGGTCTTAAAGTTCGACCCTGAAACTTATTAGCTTAATTACTATTGTGAGCTGAAATTTATGCAGGGAGATGAAAAAAGTATGAAGTTGACTCTGCCACGGTTGCTTTCGCAGGCCAGGTCTGAGCAGAACAAGCCAAGTGCATTAATTTTAGGTGCCAAATGAAACACAAGGAAGCAGTGTTGTTAGAAGTCACCATGTGTAGGAGGGCTTTTCCTGTCTTTTTTTGCATCACTTTTTGGATTCAAAACTGAAGAGTTCAATTTTAAAAGGAATCTAATTTTTTTAGTAAAGTAAAGTCTTGACCTTTCTGTCAAATCCAGAAAAGTTATTTTTGATCAGATTATAAGTGTTGACATCCTTGCCACATTACAGATTTCTTCTAGTTTTGCCTTTTTTTGCCACACCTAAATGTTTCAAATCATCAAACAAATAATTAWTAACAGTTAAATGTAGGAAATGTAAAACTGCATTTAAAAATGCAGTTTTAAAAATTTTAAAAGCTAAAATCTATGCAAACGACCTGGTCCTATGTAAAAAGTATTTGATCCCATTCAGTTTTCAGGGCCGGCCCTAGCCAATTTGGTGTCCTAGGCAAGATTTCAGGTGGTGCCCCTTGTGCAATTTTCTAAAGCTCACAGCCAGTTTAAGTACAGTACATTCACAAGCCAAATTAAATTGTTTTGTCTTTGATATTATTTTTCTATCTTTAAAACTAGGCTGTCCAATTAAAATATTTAATATAAATCATTTGAAAAAGAATACCAGAAGTCTACCTCATACCTGCCAACCAATTATGATTGCTCTAAGGCTACGTTCACACTGCAGGCAAATCTGACTCAGATCCGATTTTTTTATGACAGTCTGAACG